CCGCCATTGGAAGCTCCATCGAAAGTTACAGTCCTCATCATTGCGGACCGGTGGGGCGTGTCAGCCAGTATGAGTGTGCACACTGTTGAAGCCGTTCTCAGCCTTTTTGTTGAAACGCGTATGCGACAAAAAGTGGTAGAAAACGAGTAATACGAAGGATATAATACAGTAATGTCACTTGCCCGCTTCAACAACTGGTGCAGAACGACTTTGGCCCCGCGCCAAACGCAGCCGCACTGAACCGCCCCGACAGTACGTAATGATGAGGACTGTAGTTCCCATTCCAGGTTCCACTGTAACTTGAAGACCTTCTTTCATTAGTAACCTTTAAACGTATATGCGCACCGCTAGCCCAGATCGGCAAATTGCAAATCCGTAATCGCCGTGGAATTCCCCTACATTCTCGGCGATAGTCGAGAAAAGCATTGTCGGAGTTAAATGCAGTCTGCCATCTTCCACATTGTGGATTTCCAAAAGGATATAACGGCTTTTAAACTTTACCATCGGTCTAAAAAGAAATAACAATTGCATTTTGTGGCATGAAAAAACGTATGGAGTAACAATAAGAAGACGGCTCTCCTTCTGACAAACACACTTACAGACGTGATAAACTCTTTACAGTATTTTCAACGACTACAACAACGTAAACAACGGACAAAGTAAACATTTTCGAAAAGACTCCCATAAGGATATGAACAATAACAATGCACAAAAAAATCTATATATGTTACCTAGTATCTAGACCTACAAATTGATCCCTCAGTAAGGATCGCGTTCAACATTGACAGTGTTTGTACCATCTCGGGAATGGAATAGTGTCTTTAATACTCGGCACTCCGAGCAGAAATTGCAGGAGTCTCTCGAAACCCAACCCGAAACCTCCTGATATCGGCTTGCCACGCTTTCTGAGCTCCAAATACCTTAACCGTACACGGTTTCGAATGAACATAAGTAAGACAAATTGTAGTAAAATATGTATAAGGTAAAAAATCTGACTCAATAAACCAGGAATCCCTCACAAAGAATGGGCGCAGAAAGACGCTTCATTGGTCTACCAAATGACAAAGCAACTTTAACAGCACCCTCGGGCAGCGCTCATAATTTGCGAATATGGAGCATCCGCTATTAAGCAGAATGCACGAATCAGGACAACACGCGATTCGCTAGTCGGCGGAGTCTTCAGTTCCCATACCTACAATTTGTAGTAGAGCCTGCCGCCCCGTGCGCTAAGGCGTTAGCGCAAGAAGAAAGCAAAAGGCCGTTTAAGGAGAACTGTGGTTTATAGATGTCAACCTCAGTGCAGAGTGTTTCGAAATGAACGCTTACAAACTCCAATCGACCTTTCCTACATTCAGGACTTGATTTAAAACTCTGGCCATGTTCCATATTTTAAATCATAGAAATAAACATGCGGGTGTGGGGAAAGGGGCTTGATGGCGCTGATATCCATAAAATCTCAACAAGACATCGCAAGAATGCTGAGTTGTGGGCAAAAGTCGGACCACGGACGGGATTCGAACCCGCATCTTCTGCTTACCGGGCAGTTGCGTTCCCTATTACGCTACCGAGGCCACTTTGACCACTCAGCTCAATGGCTATTTGTGGAAGATGCGGGTTCGAATCCCGCCCGTGGTCCGACTTTTGCCCACAACTCAGCATTCTTGTGATAACTTTCGGATCGCGCACTGCGGCGTTAAACAGCAGTTATCAAACAATAACAGCTTCCCAACAAGGCATTAAAATCAACTGAGCGCGAAAGATTACCAATCGATGTTGTCTGGACTTCGTTCCCGAAGAGCGTCTGTGGATGCTTCACGGATAGAACCACCGGCAAGCTCACCAACAACAGGACACAGTAAATCAAATGATTCTGTCTGAAACAAGAATGAAAATACTCACCAACAGATCAGAAAAGATGCTGAATTGATATCATGACTCACGAATTTTCCGTCCGACGAGCGTTGCATGTAGAAAGGCTTCTGCTCAGAAGGAAAATGGGTGATAAAAACCGGAGAATTATGATAGCTCACCTGAAGAAGAGACTAATCCATGGTTTCACGCAGAATGCACAAACCTTTTACGTAATGACTTACCAAAAATAACTCATTTTGCTTATTGAAACCCTTTCCACCGACTTTTTGCTTTTTATCGATGAGCAACTGCAGAGCGTCAACATAGCGTAGTCGTGGGAATGACTGTCCATCAGCAATACAATGCAGAGATGCCAAGTGTTCCTGAAAACGGGGTAGCATTAGCTGTTCTAACTTCTCGACCATACTCCCTCCCTACGTATTCTAAACTACATCTGCTCCGAGAGATAAGCAAAATCCTTTTGCATGCTATGTGCCAGCTAGAATCAGATCGAGATTACTGATTGTGAGTGATTTCACCTATGATCCGTAAATCGAAAGTTCCCATAAACAGCAAGACAGCTATCGCTTCGGGCCAGTTTCTCGGCAATGTAGTCAATACGGAAGAGAAACTCCTAAAGGCAACCACAAACTATCACAAGAAGGCGGGTTGTGGGTCGAAGCATTGACCCATCCGAACTAGAACCTGTACCTTGCACTTATCGTTCCAGGGCGCTAACCATTACATCTTTTCCTCACAACTTAGAGTTCTTGCGATAATGTATGGTCTATTGCCAGGCTGTAAAGGGTGGCTAAGAACGGGCAATTCAAGGCAAAATGCGTGCCATGTGAACAGCAAATACATACAGATAATCAGAGATATACTTGGTATAATCAGAGATATACTTGGTATACTGTTTCAACAACTGAAGGGAAAAAGATTTCGTTAACAGCTATGGAGGAACTAGTAACAAGTAGCCAAAGAGACTTATCAAAAATTGAGGACAGAAGAAAAAGTCGCAAAAGAACATGTATGCTAGTTCTGCAAATTTTTCTTGGCCCCAAAATAAATATGTATGAACACGCAAAAATGTATACACCGAACCTTTGATGAGAAAGGAGTAATTAACCCAAGATCATCTGCCATCTCCGGATCACATGTTAGGCTACGTATGGAGTTCATTAGGAAGTCTTCCGCAACATCCAATAAAGTGTCCAAGTTCTAAATGAACAAGTGAAAACACTATGGTAACTTAATAACACCAAGTTGCACTTTACATACATTACAAAACGCCAATTCTGTTTCCAGCATCTTGAACTCCGTCAGATGATTTCTGCTTTGTTGTTTGTCTGCTCGAAGCCCTGTGCTGATCGTGTACACATGGGAGATACCACTTCAATGAAAGGGTTATTAGCATCATCAAGAAGCGTTAGTGCACCAGAAACTCTATATTAGTGAGTTGAGAGTTCACGGAACACGGCTAAGTGTTGATGTAATGATAAGATGTTCCAACCAAGGCTATGGGCCATAAAAGGATAACAGTTTTCAAGAAACTTTTCCCGGTGGTGATGTACGACCTCACAGCAGGCCCCTTCACTCGTGGATATCATTAGGCCCAGCTGTCTCACAAGCTCAGCGCATCTAAGAAACCCTCTTTAATAGGAGGTATTGCAGATCCCGCTTCCTCTCAACACTGCTGTGCAACAGAGCTGCGAAGGTTGGGATCTCCTTCATAATGCACCAAGCCCTCCCTCCAGCAAAACTAACATATCTTTCTGCAGCACAAAAATGGAAAAAGCAAAAGTTGGGAGCGTCATGAAACCTCAGATGACAGAAAATGAAAGATTAGAAAAGAAAACGAACCTCACCATTGCTTCCAGATGTAGCTGGCCACTGACAGATAGGTATACATTTTTCTTGTCGAAGAATTCTTCACCAGTTGAAGATGTAGTCTGAAAGAAAGGAATCAAATTTACAGGTAGTAAGAAGCAGTTTATTGATCATAATAAGAAATTTGCTCATCAAGTAGCCATAGCAAAATGATTCAAGAAACGCTATTACTTACAGCAATGCAAAATGCCTCACCAGCTCCCTCACAGTCATTCATTGTTATCATCGGAGTATCAATATGTACGTAACCACGACTCTAAAATAAGGAGACTGATGAAAATATTAGAATCAACGGCTCGTCCTGTAATATTAGGCAACCAAAAAAGTTCGTGCGGTTTTGAAGGTAGCGAAATAATAACATAAAAAACGGGTTAAACTTGGATTTATCCCGTAAAATAATTACCCTCAGCAAGTAATACACTTTCCCATTTAGACACAAGAACATATATTCCATTTTTGTAAAAATCTTGCTTCTGGGAATCAAAGAAATGTTTTAGTTCGCTCAGGAGCACTTCATTTTTAAATCGCCGATTCCTCATGTGGTTGTCCAAGGCCAAAAACAGATGATAGTCACTTGGAGCAAGGTCTGGCGAGTACGGAGGGTGAGGTAGAATTTCCCATCCTAGTCGCGCTATTGTTTCCTGAGTGATTCTTGCAGTGCGTTGGTCTAGCATTGTCCTGGTGGAAAACCACAACTTTTTTCTGTTCGCCTTAATTGAAAGTAATCTAAATTAACAAATACACTGAATGACACTCCTTGACATATGTCTTTTTTTTTTTAAAAACAATGTATTCAAAGTTACCCAACTAGAATCAGTTTACTGAATACTACGTTCATCAATAATAATCCAAAAAAAGCCTACATTTTTTGTTGCCTCAATAGTTATGCTGGTTAGGTTGAAGTTCAACCGCCGTTTTTAGAACTTATTACCGATGATGTAGCCCGCTGAGACTACGGGTTCAACAAAATGTCCTAACTTGTTGCAAACAAGACGGAACTACAACAGAGGCCTTCGAAAAGCATTTATGGGCCCCAATCTACCTCTTCGAGGGAATGCGCGTTTTAGAAGAATAAACGTCGACTTTACGAGACCCCATGGTATCACATGTCGCTTGCTGTTCTTCCGAGACCTCCGCCCCCTCCGAATCACGAACTGTGGATTTTCTAGGTCTATATACTCACCTTCTATAGCGTACACTCCCGCCGCCTTAACCAGATAAGCATTCGCACAGCATGAGCAGGGAACAAAAGTTATTGAGCCTTGTCCAATAAACCCACCCTCATCACATCATAAGCAACCATTCGAAAGAAAACGTCACGTACACAAATATTCGGAGGTCTCGATAATATACTCATCGTCTTACACCTAATACTACTTGCGATACTTCTTCAAGAGAACTTTCCCTCTTTTCTTGACTTGTTATACGGCTCTGCTCTTAATGAACCTCCATGCTACCCCGTGTTCTGTCTATTGGGCGCTTTCAGACAAGCCCCGCGATTAATTATTGGGGATATCGTTTCAGCTTTAGATCTGCTAGGTGACTTTTCAGTGAAGAAAAAAGCAAAAAGAACGATCGGGAAGTGCTCTCAATGAAGCTTCCCTTCGAACGTCGGGAAATCGCATCGGACGATTTTGTCGGAATTCACTAGGTAATCAGCACAATCCATGCATTCCCTGACTCACAAAATTTTTCTGGTTTTTCTTCGCATGATATAAAACTAAGAGCCAT